TCCTCTTCGCAGAGCGGAAGGCCAGACCACTTAAACTGCCGTACGAATTAATAAAAAGCATGTTCAAGCAACCTATCGCGACAGAATGAAAATAGACATCTAACCGTACTAACATCTTCAACAATCACACCATCACTCAAATACTAGAAGTGAAACGGGATTTTTTCAAAGAGTCTACCCTTCAAAGAAACAAAAGAAACTGAAACTTGAATAGGAACTTGAATTGAACACAAGTGGCGATGACCAATTCTGCCAAGATATGCGAACCCGAAACAGAAATTTGCACTTCGGCATCCTCGTCTCAAATTTCTGCCCTAGAATCTACAGTTCTCAAAGAATTGTTTCGATTTCCGACTTTTGTCAAATGCCTCAAAAGATCCGTAAGATGCATCCTAAATACATTGAGGAATTTTGTTGAGCTAGCCAAAATTTTGCGGAGAAGCTTTGAAATGGCAGACCTCTGTTTTTGTGTGTACTGAAGGAATGGTATGATAACCCGAGAACTGCCGAAGAGATCTACAAGTTCAGCTAGACGGTTCGTTGGGCAGAACCGCCATCGGCAAGTGGCTCGAGCCATTCAAATGCAGCAATTTCGATCTCGAGAACATGAAGCGTTCCGGTGACCTTCGTAATGGACAACGACGATATGCTAGTAGCTTCGGACGATGAGCTTTCGCGAAGCAGAAGTAGTCTGGTTCCACTATTTCGATTTCACTTCATCACACTGTTTCACAAGAATGCCGGGCTGTGAACAGAACTTTTTATCCAAAAAAAACTCGTATAACGTGTGAGTGCTGACAAGCTATGGTAAGTATACCATGAAGAAGCTGAGTTGGAATGAAATGGTGCCCCGGTAGCGTAACTGGTAGCGCACTTGCCCGGAAAGCGAGAGGTGCGGGTTCTAGTCCCGCCTGGGGCGAAAGTTTTGTTCACAACCCAGCATTCTTGTGAAACATTCGCAAGGCGAACTGCGGCCAAAAACAGCAGTTAACAAAAAAAACAAGTCAAAAACTGTGCTATAACGTATTAAAAAAAGGATAAAGCATTTGCCGTTGATCAATCCCTTTTTGGGATGCGGCACGCATTCTACTTCCATTTGTACATTCGTAGTGGCGTTTGAATGCGATGTGGCCTATACAATGACTTGCGGGGGCCAGCCGATGTACAAGTCAGTGTTTTTATCCTCCCAGACAAGTCTGGTACCAATTAACCGACCCCGGAGGGATGGAAGGCTTGGTTGGCCCGGGCGACTCACGACCCAGGATTTGATCCCCGGACCGCTCGCGTGGTAAGCGTGCCACTTGCCACTACACCACTTCCGCCCTCAACATTACTGGTAGAAAATTGTTTAGATCAGCGGTCTTCATTAAAAGTAGGGTGCTATCGCAAGCCATGGAAACGTTGTAGTAGTAGTCCGCTTTGAATCGCATGAAACATCTCCTTTTTGTTAGAAACGGGACCAAAGCCTCCGGCGGAGGATGCCGTTTTCCCCGAGGTTCCTGCCTCCTCTCAGGCTTAGTCGTGAGGAGATGACCCCGTATCTTGTGATAGCGCCAAAAGTAGCTGCTTGTTAGCTTTACGTGAATTCTCGCTCGCATGGAAATTTAAATTTTCATCTTTGATTGCGATACTTTTCGGTCAACCTAATAGGCATTTGTAGCTCACATAACCAGGGAGATCCATAAGTACCAGCCACTAAACTATCCAACTCTACCCGAAGCAATGTCTATTTTTAGTTATCAAATGCTTGAAGGCCGTAGGATACCGTTATAATGAGAAATACAAAGAAAAAAGAGCACAAGAGCTTCATGTTCAATATGTATTTATCATTCTGAGAGAAACAATAAGAAAACTTCTGGTCAGTAACATTCTCAGTAGCTATAGTAGCTGTAAGGCAAAATTATATGTAAATTCCATCTTCAGAAGCGAAAGCACTGCCACAATCATTAAAGTAAGTACAAGGTGAAATAAAAGGAAGTGAAATATAATAAAAGCAACCCACTTTTCTGGATACTTATTTGTGGGGACGAATCGTGCACACTCTCGTCGATTGAAAGTCTCGGTGATCCAATGAGCTCTATTGAGGGACTAAATATAAAAGCTTTTCAAAGGATTGAGCTTGCTTTATCAAAGACCCCTTACCAAATCCGATTCGGAGAATCGCATCTGACTGAAGAGCGGTGGCACCGGAGCAGGGCACTCCCCGTGCGGCTCACTCGTCTTCCTCAGATTCGGCTGAAAAGTTGAAGATCATCGAAAATTTTCTACCCAAGCCATTCAACACAACAATGAACTGCATGTACTGTCGCCTTCGATAGGAGTTCAAGACATTCACTCATTCTGTCATTGTACTGAAAAAGGAAATAAAACAGTAAACGAACCAGTTTGTGCGCATTTTAGATAAGTTACTGGTTCCTCAGAAAGAAATTATGTACCCAAGTGGATACAAAGTTTAAAATAACAACAACACCGGCGTCAATGATCGTTCGGACGATAAGACCAAGAACGGGCGAAGGAGAAGACCAAGGTGAGTTGGGCACAAAACCACTGACATCAGCCCTTTCAAACTAAAGTCCATGCTACTTAAAGGAATTCAGCCAAGAGAAGGGTCTAATTTTTAACATTGGGCGGCCACAAATTTAGCGATAAATTCAGGAGTAATGATCAAATATTCGAGTAAAGAACGAATTGTGGGCAATCCAGCAGATTGTGGAATTTTTTTCCAAAAATAGCTTGGAAAACGTCTGGGAAGGAGCAAAGAAGAAGAGGACCAAAGCCAGTTGGGCACAAATCATAACACTTGAGCCCCTCCAGATGAACAGTTACTTCTACGAATTGTTAGGTGAATTTGGCCAACGGGGTACAAAGGGAGAGCTAATATTTCAGAGTTAAAACAATTTGCGCCGAAACAGCGAGAACAGCAATGACGAGGCGTGGAAAACTTCACAACCGTCAGGCACAAAACGCTCTATGGAAATACAAAAGATTCCTATCTCGTTCCGTCTACTCAGATGGTCGCAGCTCAGGATGATGAACGTCAACGAGCAAATTTCGTAAAGGTACGATTTTCATTAATTCTCTAACTGAGTCCTCAATAATCTACACTTATGTCCTTACAGCTATATTGGGCAAAAATTGACCGCGGATGCCGAGAGCAACAGTACCTTACTGTAAAAACAACAAAACTTCACCGCTTTCATATACACTATCAAAGATTAATTGTGCGCAGAGCGCAAAATAATCGCCATCGATGAACCCGAAAAGGATATGAAAACGCGCGTCGTGTCACCAACAAATATCCTCGGATTATCTACCTGGCCCGTTAACTCAAATGTCTACCATATACCGGAACAAACAAAATGCATTACTGTCAAGGGAATGGGTGACAGCAAACATTGAAGGTGTGACTAACTAGTGAGGTGCAAAACATATGGTCACGTAACACCTACGGTCCGAAAACCAAGACGAGGAAACTTTTACGGTCACGAAAGGTTATACATGGTCACGGCAAACATCTCGATAAGAATTTGCAAAGCACCGGATATTTACGACCAACAGACTGGCACGAGGTAACTGGGACATAATGGGATGAGGAGTTTTCTACAATGGAATCCATATAACCCACCGAATTCTCTCCTTGCTCTTGAGCTGAATCTCGAGCTTCTGTGATCGAGAGCATGTCTCGCCAATCAGTGGAGTGGACATTTGGAGGAGGAATGGCGTACCCAAGAAGAGATCTGCCGCCTTTTCTCGGCCAGTCTCCTCCAGTGAAACTTCCTGAAAAAATCGGAATCACGGATCTAAAACGCTGAGCACCCGAAATTTTTACCCAATTCAAACATTTTGGCAATGTGAACTGAGAAACACCTGTCTACACCCCAGTCTGTAATATTTCCATGAGCTAGCCAGCAAAAATAATGAAGTCGCTGTAGAGATGCCTTGACCACTGCCGAGCAGGTGGCATAAGTTCTCGGAGCTGCGCTATACCATACATATTAGAGGTCCCCGACTCCTGGCAGAACCTTCTCTTCGAGCCCTGATTCTACTATGAAGACTTTACTTAATTCTTCGCCGACAGAAGACTTGTGAGATCGCGATACTAATTTTTCACCTATACCTTGACTCAACTAAGAACCGAGATAATCATTCAGAACCAACCCGAGATAAGAGGCATTAGTTGCCTCGATTGTGACTGAAAACCAGTTAATGAAGTGAAAAAAAGGAAAGGAACAATATCCTCTCGAATATATTCTTTTATTCGTTTTACTCTTTCCGCCAACAGAGTGAAGTGGTCACACTCAGTCGTTCTCCAAGAAGAATTGCCCTATCGCCCAACTCGTGCTAAGCTCTGAGCACCCCGTGTCCTCTGCGTTCGCTCATGGCTCGCTCCTTCTTTTTAAAATATCATAGAGACTCGCTGCTCAAAATGCCTACTGTTGTTTCACTACAGTAAAAAAAAGGAGGGAATAACCCTCATAGTAGCATGCTTGGACTGAGCAACACTTTTTTTTTACAAATTCGCATTACTGACTTCATTTAATTCACGCTTTAGATTGATCATTTAATTGTATCGCTATATTAAATACTTCCTATTTGGATTGTCATGAATTAAAATAACTCTACATAATCTGAACCCAAAAAAACTAAAGATAAAAATTACTTCCCAATATGACTCAAAAGTTCAAAATCCTTCACCATAGATAGGATCCCCTTCTGTCAAGGGAAATCTCACTTGCTCGAGAATACACTCATCTCACAGGTATTCAAACTATTTCATCTACAAAATTCAAATCCAAAGTTCTAGAACAAATGTGAACTTGCTCTCTAAAGAGATAAGATCAAAAACCTGTTTCCTTGTATTTCCACTCGGAGCAAAAACAATCCGGTCAGGCTCACGGGTCGACCACTTGTTCAAGAACATCGAGAACGATAAACAAAGTGAGAAATAAAGAAGAGAACCGTGATCTGTGCTCTTCCATTTTATTATCGTAAGAAGCAGTCCACAGAAACAGAGAGAAATAAACTTTCTGTAAAAGCCTTCCAATTAGCACCTACCCTCAACAGAAAATATGCATGAAAAGAAAATATTTTCATTCACCACATAAAATAGAAAAGGTAAACACGGAAGAAGCTTCGCATCGTTTTTGCTTTGCGGCGGGATTTTCCCCTCTGTTACTTCCCTCTACCCAGAGTCGCACGCATGGAAACGAAGAACGTGCTTTTCTT